GTATCTGTACATCCTAACAATTAAAGGCCTAGTCTAAATTGTCATATAGCTAGTTTGAAAGATACCATGTCTACTATTTGTACCTAACAAAGGCATAGTTTAAAGTGTCATAGCTAGTTGCATACCTTGTCTACCGTATGCATCCTAACAAAGTCATTATCTAAAATGCCTTATCTAGATATTAGTTTGATATCGAAATTAGGAACGAGTTGAGCAGTATGGTTGATTATGATACCACAGGAATAAAAGTCCTAACCAAAGGTAAAGTTAGACGACTTATGCATTTATACCACGCACGTTCAGGCTAGGCGATTTTGTGCCGTAACCACGAGGTTGCGAGTTCGAGACGCGGTGTGCTCCGTGCGTTTATTCATTTAAAGTTGTTTGGAATTATCTCGGTATACATGTAAAATAAAACTAACAAAGACATTTAATGAATTGAACTATCATACTCTTGCGTTGGATGAAAGCATTGTTAAACCAGTAATGATTTTATATTTAATGTTCTTTATTTTTGGATGAAATAAAGTGCACTTGATTCAATGTGGAATTCCCTGGCAGAGAATCTATAGACATACTTGTAAGATGTATATTCAACTAATATAATCCATGTGGAATGTTATTAATCTAACCTTTTAGAAAATACTCTACAAGGTCACGAGGGAACCCACTTTGTGAAGTATCGAGTACGTTAATACGTCATCTTTAAAAATACAGTTTTAATGAGTTTATCAGGCTTTGATGTGCAGTCATATCTGAATTATAGAAGCTTAAACCACCTTCACCTGCAGCTTCAAATATTTCCAGTCACTTAAAATCCATTTCAAGCAACCCGTATCAATTGTAACCAGATGTATCGAGGGATGGTTTATTGATCCCGATGTAATGTGGGTTGATTTATGATATTATGTATGATAAAAAGATCACGTGATGACGAAGTGCATCTGGGGGTGTACCTCCTTTGTCAGTAATGAAACTTCTCCAATCATTCGATACGGAAAATTGAAACCTCATCGATCAGGTCGAGATAAAAAACGATAATTTTAGGAATTTTGAAACTTAAATCGCCGCCCCAAATCCTATTAGCGCTCATATTAATATATATTTAAAGGACTAGTGTCTCTAATTATGATACTAGATTTCACAAAAATAATTTGAACAGATAATGTTATAATAGCTTGCACCACCATCTTTTTGTAATAACAATACTTACACAAAAATCACAGAAAATGAATTTTAGTAGTTTAGTAAATGGACACTTTTTACACGCTTTGATGTTTTCAAAAATAAAGGTTTCTACCAAGATATATTGCAAATTACAGATCAATCTGAATTTAAATCATTTTCATTATTATGGTTTGTCAGGATCAGAATTACTTTGTTCTTTAAGACAACAGGCTCAAATAAAGTTTTGGTAACCTCCACATTACCCAGAGACCCTAGTTACAATAATAAAAAACAGTAAAAAACAAAACCATGTGCATTTATTACTCTCAAACTCCCGAGAGGAAACACGTAAGCTCAAAGGCACTTCTTTCAATGCATAGATCTAAAAACCGATCAAAATCGATGCCGAAATATGTCGTGAAATCAAACGCACTCCCATCGCGGTCATCAGTGTTCAAAAAGACACCCTGAGGATAACAGGTCACCGATTGGTGGCCTCGATCAGCACGAAGACACGTTGTGGGTTATTACTCTGAATTTAATGAGAAGTCAATGCTCCTATTTCTTATGGCCACAAATCATGCTCTAAATCAATTATAAAAAGTTGTTCAAGAGAATCACATAAAACTTGCAGTTGAGGATAAATGGATGCCATCTTTTTGGTTTACTAGCAAGCATGTTAAACTGGAGGTCATGAGATGTACTGAGATTTCCTTATTTTGCTAGGACAATAAGCTCGAATATGGCACATTCAATCCTTGGTCAATTTAGCGTAATGCCCTTAGGAAGTCAAGTCCTTCAAGAAATACAGAGTTGAGCTTGTCTGTTTGGCAGCTATCATGTTAGACTTTTGTTTATAACGTACGGTCAAGCTATAATTTGTAATATGACTTGGTAATATGACTTGCGCAAAAGTTAAAAGTGTGTCCTTTTGCGCACCTTAAAACAACAATTTGAACGCTGCTCCACCCGATGCAGTATTTTAATTTTGTATAGAACCTACTTTCGATTGTGTAAACGTGTTGATTTATCGGCCGTCACGTAGCTATCTGCGTACCATAATAAATGACCATTTCTATGCTTTATCAGTCAAATGGGAAAACTCTGTGTCAGGATGTTTGATAAAAGCTATAAACTTGGCAGCCATGATAACAATTCAATTATGTCATATATTCACCACCCACATGCACATGTTTGTGATATTCGTATTCTCCACCAAAATGGCAGACAGTATAAGTTATTCAATGATTCGAGTGAAATAAAGAAAACGTTCTTCCCGAGAAGGTCTGTATTTCACGATGTGCTAGCAGAGTGAAATACAGACTTTCAAGAGAAGAATATTTTCTGTATCTCACGAGATGAAACTTTCTTTGACAGATGGCGAGAGATTTAAATATTAAGAGAAACAAAAAGCAAACTTTTTCCTTTCAAATATCTCTAAAATAACGTTTCTTACCTGAAGTATTTGGACCTTTACATGCATGATACGAAGAAATCTTAACACATTTTTAGAATTCAAATTTTTCGGCAATGCTGAGAGCTGAAAACTGTGGAAATACAACTTGAAGGGTATATGACATATCATGTGTGAAAAACGTAATTGGACATGACTTCGCTTCATATACAGTAAATAATATTTATTAAATCCACAAAAATCAATGATCGGTGCTGAGTTTAGAATCCCATTGGACATATTACAAAGTTTATGGTTGCTGCCAGGGGATCCAATTGATTAATTATCAAAATTCTAGATTGAATATTTATAATATGTGTCAGAATTGCTGTTTGGTTTCAGAAGCGCATTTACAGATCAATGAAACGAAATTTACATGCAAATATCAAAGCGAGTCTTAGCATTGTTGGTTGATATAAAACGTTATCGTGATAAACAGATCATTATAGTCACTTTCCTATTTTGTAGATTATTTATAGCTTCTGTGTATACATCAATACATCACAGATACTTTCTGTAAATTGAGATCAAAAGTGACAAACGTGTAACGGCAGGTTCACCGAGATCAATCATAGCAATGTCTGGAGTAGAGATTTTAAAGTGAGCTTCATATTAAGCTCTGTAAATGTCTCATTAGACGCAGAAAGACGGTGTCTTACGAGCAGCTCGTACATCATGAAAGCGCACAGTCTCTATGGGCCAAGGAAGCGCTTGATTAGGGGCTCAAATCTCTTCAACGACTCTCATTTTGCGCCTTTTGTTCTTATTGTCTTCACCAAGAAGGTTTTAGTCCGATTAGACAAAGGGAAATGCTACATTTGGGAATCAGATCCTCATTACCTAATCAATCAGAAATGGAAATTTAAGACTTCGCGGCAAAATGAAATTGAGTGGCTATCTGTGAGTTTAATTACTTAATATCTCAAATCCACAACATATCAACAGCATGACACAACATCTTGACATTATGGAAGTACAAGATTTAGATTAACATTTATGTGTCTCTTTCTTTGGTCCTCATTAGTCCTTGGCAATAAGCAAACAACTAAAATCAGTTGAATAAAATCAGTTAACGTTTTTATTGATATCATTTTAAATCCTGCAGAATATTATAAAACATGGTAAAAATAGAATAAGACAAAATAAAATTTCAATTCAATTATATCTCAAAATAATACACATATCACTTACTTCATGCGAGTTGATAAGAAAAGCTTGAGTAACTAGCTATAGACAATTTTATTTGAATTGCATCGATTTTTAAAATATACTAGATAAAGTGAGTGTGACCTACGGCAATAGTTGGTTAAATGAATTGAAAGCTTGCGTGAATAATGAACCCAATCTTGGTTTGGACGGTGACATCTCATATTATGAAGTAATAGAGGAAAACTAACATCTTGTGACATTGAGGTCGGGTTAAATAGACGAGAGTCTCCGAAGTCTTCGGGACACAATTGATCAATTATACATAGTGAAGAACAATGTCAGATAACGCAATTTCCGCAAAATCCCGGGGCTTCTAACGCCGTTACAGCTCGAGCAAATGATGCCTTATAAAAGCATCCCTTTCCTATTACTTGTTAATTAATTCGATTGCTTTACGAGTGGACATCAAAGAGTATGTTCCGTAATGTGCCCCTGGCTTTCCGACCTATGTCTAATATATGATGAATGTATGTACGATGTTTCCTAATGGCATCATACGGGATCGTACCCGTTACTATGCGTACGTGAAATAGTTAAATTTTGTTTCATTAGTTAGAACTCCAATAAGGCGGTGAATGCTATTTAAGAGAGCGACAAATAAACTTGTTGTTGGAAAGCTATATCTATTATTCCATGGTTGTTCTCTTTGACATTATGTTTATGTATCTTTA